CACCAAGAAGCTTCGAGGCAGGGTCAGGCATGACGGCCTGAGCTAGAGCAGCCATAGCTGCTTTGGGTTGTCCTTTGGGCATCTGGGCAAGGCCTAGTAGTCCGCCATAGCCTTGGTCTATGAGAGTGAAGAGTGGGAGAGGCGGCCATGGCTATGGCGGACCTCAAGTGATACCTGCAGTAGAAGAGGGATTCGGACTTTGATTCTGGTTCAGCTATTCAACATTTTATTATTAATTCTTGTGTGAACAAGAGAGGAGGAGATAAGGAGGAAGAGAGAGTTGAGCGAAGAAGAAGAGCTTTTATCATTTGTATATGCGTGTATACATCATCTTCTTCTTCTTTCCTACTTCTTCTTCTTCTTCTAACCTTCTCTCTCCTCTCAAGTTCATTCATTTCTTTCTGCAATTGGACAGCATTGTATTATCTGATGAATGTGTATCTTGGAATTGGCCGGGATCATAACATTGGTATCAGATCGGATTCTACTTGCTGGTGAGAGTTGACTTCGCTGCCCTAACCCTAACCTGAGTGGTTGAGGGCAACACTTAGGGTTAGGTTTGGATGTAAGGGAAGCGGCGCAGCGTGGCTAAGGGACGCTGCCCCCACCTGGTTAGGTCATGTGGGGTCAACATTGAACCTAACCAGGTTGCTTGAGAGTGAGATTAGGGTGGCGAGACATTTTGTGGAGACTTCATGCGGCAATTTGAGAGAGGCGACAGTGAGAGGCACTCGCACCTGGAATCTGATTCAAGGGAGACACTTGGCAACTTAAGGGCTGCCCTCAAGTAGGGGAACTTGAGGGTCAGCGACCATTCAGCATCTACGGACTGCAAGTTGCTACTTTGTTCTTCAGCATCGGCGGGGGACCCGGCGTTGCACTTTGGTGTTGGAGTCGGACCCTCCTAGGAGATAGGACACTAGTGTAGGGGTAGCGTTAAAGGGGTCAGGAGGATCATATGAGAGGGGGGTGAGTTCTATTCATCTCGAAGCTCAGGCCACTCAGGGAAGTGTCGTGCACCTACGGAGGCCTATGCAGATGACCCCACTCTTGGTGACGACCAAGAACAGGACGTTGATACAGCCTGTTCCTCGTCAATCCATGAGTCTGACGCAAATCATGAAGAAGAAAAATTCACTGCCTCCAAAAAGACTGCCCATGCTAAGGGACCGAATTGGAATTCAGGGAAGAACTATGTCGAAACCGGAGGATGCAACCACTAAACCATGGGTTGACCTTCGGATCACTGAAAATGATTGGAGGGTTAAACTCAAGAAAAGGGTATGCCTGCATTGCCAGAAACCAAACCATAAGGTACAAGAATGTTATAGGCTGCAGGGAAACTAGAACTGGACGTAGAGTTTACTTCAGCATCCTCTACGGCAAGGGAGACTGAATCTGATGCAAATCTTCCAAGGTTGAAGTGTGTCATGCTTTTTATGTCGAGCCTTGGGAGGAGTCTGGGACGGTTGACTTCCACTACCACTTGGAGCATTGGGTTGAGATGAAACATCAGCGTGCCCAAGGGACAGTGAAGTTGATCTTCTTCAAACTCCAACAGGTCATGCACAACAAAGCGGCAGCTGCCTCTGAGCCGCTGCCGCCCATGGGCTTTTTGCTGCCTGTTGTGGAAACGAGGTCTATAGCCTCGAGACTGACTATGTCCTTCATTAAAGCGCACCAGTCACCGTACCCAATGAAGTCCCTGCCTAGGCGATTGGTAAAGTTAGTGGGAACCGCGCCTTTCACTACATCCAAGCAAGATTGATCAGTCATTTCTAATCTTGGGGTGACAAACATCTTGCTGAGGTAAGTCTGAAGGCTTTTCATGGAGCCCGACCACTTGCTGCGTTTGATGCTGTCAAGTTGGTTCCTTGCCCTTACTGCAGCATGTGGATCCATATACCGTGCGATAAAAAGTTCTTCGAGGGAGGCAATCGGGGTGGTCTTAAGCCACCTTGTTAGTTCTATCTTTGGAACCCCAACTCGCGTAGCTTGGATTTCTAGGAAGCCCCATACAATAGGCTCGACATTCATTCCCATGATCACGGACTGCGTCTCAGGTTGAGTCCCCAAAACCTCAAAGTACGCCCTCATGGAGTTGATCTCGGATTCAACGTTTTCTTTGCCGTCATACTTAGACGGTATTAGCACCGTCTTTCGATCTACATAGCGACCGGCGTAGCTGGGACCAGCACCTGCTGGCTCCGATCTTGGGGCTCCAGCAGTTGCAGAATTTCCCGCCTCCTCGCTTGTTACAACAACAACAGAATTTGCACGTGCTGCAAGTCCCGAGGGGTTTGCCATCAGAAGAGGTAGCAAAAGATACAGTAAGAGGGGCAAGATTAGCTACAATCGCAGCTCCGGAACCAGGGGGTAGAGGAAGAGGATTGGCTACTTGGGCTTGTCGGAGCGCAACAACCTCAATCGTCAAGTCTTGTTACTTGCTGGTCATATCAGTCAGATCCTCTTGAAGTGTCCGCAATTTTGCGAAGACTTCGGCGATCTAAGTGGTATGATCGTTAAGGTTCCGGACTTGAACGATAGCGATGAGTATAGACTGCAGTTGTTCCCCACACTGCTCTGTGGTCAGCGAGGGAACAATTTCCAAGATGGTCACCTGACTCTTAAGCAACAACTCCTTCCTTTCCTCCTCTGTCTTTTGTTCCCTTTTAACAATACTATCTAAGAGTGCTTGTAGATACGGTTTCTCTGCATCGCCGGCTGCATTCAACACGGTCCGCCATTGTACCGAGGTTAGTTGTGGCTGGACCATTTTCAGGCGGTTATCATCGACAGGTGGATTAGAGAGATGCCAATCAGCAAAAGAATCAATCAGACTCTCAAGAGTTGCACTCCCCTTGCGCCTAGACGAACACTCTGTTTCCCAGTCCTTGCCCACTCCAGACGGTCACTTTCCCTCTCTTCCTTTTCTCTCTCTCTCCTCTCTCTCTCTTCTTTTTGGTTGCGAGTCTCCACGCGCATCGAAAATGAACTCAGAGAAAGAAACAAACTGAAAAGCTCAATGACAGAGAAGGTAGAACTCCTAAACGGAGCGACATTACATTTGGACTAGAGAGCAGCAAACCACCAAAAGAAAAAAAAAAAACAAATTCGGAGGAGAGGTCTGATCCAGCGACTTGGTCTGATCAGTCTGCATACGGGGTCCTCTCGAGTCCAGTCTGACCAGCTCCGTAACCGTACAACAAATCAGACGAGTGACTAAATGCAACAATGGAGAATTGAGTTGTGTATAGGGTGCGAGTCAAGCCACAGACGGTGCAACCAAAAGCACGCGAAACGTCTCAACCGAGATCCCCTCGGCAATGGGCGTCCTAACCAACAAGAATAAAACTCTGGATCTCAATCAGGAAGAGAATGAACCCGTGACCCACGCTTTGAACTTCTATGTCCTTGACAAGTGTCCCTTTGACACTGTCCTTGGTTTGGGTTGGTTGCAGTCCCAATGCGAATGAACCAAGTGGAAGGAGTCAACTTTCATGGTCAAAGATGCTCAAGGGAACGAGTTTCCCATACTCTTGGATGAGAAGCACGAGTCCCCAGTGAGTTTTTTTAATGCCATACAGTTCTGCAAGAAATGGCGCAAGCACAAGGAGGATGAACAGTTGTATGTTGCCTTTGTTCGCCCTTCTCATGTGCCATCTATTTTTGTGGCTAGTACCAATACTACTTCATCTAGTGATTCTACTTTTAACCCTTCTACTGCTTTACCTACCCCTAATCTAAATGATTCTACTTCGGATTCGGTTGCATCCATTCGCAACCTGCGACCTGATCTAGGTGATCCCTTTGCTGACCCTTCACCCCCACCGCTCCCAACAAACATCCAAAACCTACTTGATCGGTTCCCAGAAGTTATGGTCGAACCCCGTGGAGTTCCCACGCGATCGGTCCGACACACCATCGAATTGGTCGAAGGTGTTGTTCCTCCAAAGGGATGTGTATACCGAATGGGATCCGGCGAGTTGGAGGAACTCCGGCGGCAAATTGATGAAATGATTGACAAGGGTTGGATCAAGCCTAGTGAGTTTGAATTTGGTGCCCCTGTTTTGTTTGTCCCAAAGAAAGGAGGCAAGCTCCGTATGTGTATTGACTATCGCGGTTTAAACCGCATTACAAGAAAGAACGCTTATCCATTGCCTCGCATAAATGACTTGCTTGATGTTGCAGGTGGGTGCAAGGTCTTCTCCAAGATCGACCTAAAGTCTGGCTATCACCAGATTGAAGTCGATCCTGCGGACCAGCACAAGACTGTGTTCAAAACACACGATGGGCTTTACAAGTTTACTGTAATGCCCTTCGGTCTCACGAAGGCACCTGCCACCTTTCAAAGCCTCATGTCCAAGGTCCTCCGCGAACAGATTGGCCGGTTCATGGTAGTATATCTTGATGATATACTGATCTTCAGCAAATCCATGGAGGAACACATAAAATATTTTGAGGAAGTGTTCATCATCCTCAAGAAGACGCAACTCCATCTCAACTTAGAGAAATCTGAGTTTGGGAGGGATAGCGTCATCTATCCTGGGCATCGGTTGTCTGCTGCAGACCTAGAGCCTGAGGCAACCAAGGTTGAGGTCATACGCAATTGGCCTCAGCCCGCGAACATCCGCGAACTGCGCTCTTTCCTTGGTCTCGCATCATACTACCGGAAGTTTGTGCCCCACTTCTCTATTGTTGCTCGCCCGTTGTCCCGGTTAACGAGTAAGAATGTCCCCTACGCTTGGGATACCGCATGCGAGGATGTCTTTCAAGCTTAAAAAAAAACTTTGGTAAGTTACCCTGTACTCCGCATTGCAGATTCCAAACAGACATTCGTAGTTACTACGGATGCAAGCCAGTATGGAATTGGCGCAGTGCTGCAGCAAGATGACGGCGATGGCTTGCGACCGCTCGAATTCTACAGCAAACGCATGGTCAACGAAAAGGTAGCCACTTCCACCTACATGCGTGAGCTCTATGCTTTGCGTATAGCCTTGGACCATTGGAAGCACTATCTTTTGGGATGCCACTTCAAAGTGTTCTCAGATCATGAGACTCTGAAGTGGATTAAAGAGCAAACTACCATGTCCCTTACCTTACTTCGCTGGTTCCATGAAATTGACATTTTCGACTTTGAATTAAGGCATAAAAAGGGATGTTATAATCGAGTTGCTGATGCATTGTCTCGCCACCCTGAGTACATGACTTGCCTTGTGAATTCCTACGACCTCCGGAAGAAACAGAAGGAGGAGATCGTAGAACACACTGCCAAGAATCCGAACCTTAGTCCCATGCTTGAGCAGCTGCAGGCTGACCCCAGCAGTCAGCCTGATTTTCACGAGTATGGAGGACTGATTTTCCGTCGCTACGGGAATTACGACCGTTTGTAGGTGCCCAACCATGAGTTTCTCCGCACGCACTTTCTGGACTTGGCTCATGGACGGAGTGGACACTTCGGCATGGCAAAGACTTATAGAAACCTATTGAGACAGTTTGATTGGTCTGGCATGAAGGGATCTGCTGAAAAGTTTGTGGTTGAATGTCAAATTTGTCAACGAATCAAACCATGTAGACAAAAGCCCATGGGGCTACTTACACCCCTTCCCATTCCCGATGGTCCTAGGGAGTCTGTCTCTATCGGCTTCACCGACATGGGAAAGGTAAGTAAGAACGGCTATTCACAAGTCATGGTGACTGTTGACCGCTTCTCTAAATTTCTTAACCTGATTCCTTTGCCATCTCATGCTCCAACTGAATTGGTGATCCGTGAGTTAAAACAAAACTACATTCTGCAGTTCGGAACCCCGAAAACTCTCGTGAGTGATCGGGACCCGCGCTTCATCAGTACGGAATGGAAAGACTTCACGGCCCAACTCCTTGGCCTCAGGCTATGCATGACATATGACCGACACCCCAAAGCCAACGGTTTGGCTGAGGAAATCAACCAGACGGTGTTCCAGCTTCTTCGCGCTTAAATCATTCCGGATCGGGAAACATGGGATGAAGAGTTGTATTCCGTCAAGGGGTTGTACAACAACTCCATCCATTCTGCCACCGGCATGACACCAAACAGGCTGCATTACGGTTGGTAGATTCGTAATCCGCTCTCCTACCTATTCCCTGAGCAGCCAGCTGGTTTAACGCCCGGCAGGCCTGACTTCAAGGCCAAGTACGATTGCTTGCTCAAAGTTGCCATTGCAGCAATGACCAAGCAACAGCACACCATGATCCATCATGCAAACAAGAAGCGCCATCCTTCAAATATTGAAGTGGGAAGTTATCTGGATTTTCAGAAGAAGAGGGAGTTTCACACAAACTTCTCCGACTCTATTATGGTATGTGGGAAGTTCTGGATGTGATTGGCGAAGATAGCTTTGGCCCTTCATACGTAGTTGTTGTGCCACCTCACTTGTGCACATATCTCGTTTTTCATGCATCAAAACTGTATCTACACCGTGATGCTAAATCGTTCGATTACCGTGAAGACATGATTCCTCGTGCAATCAATGGCGGGCATGAGATAGACAGGATTAAACAGCACATAGGGAAGGGACGAAACAAACAGTACCAGGTCCATTTCATGTATCACCCGTTGGATGATCTATATTCGATTTCCAAGCAGGAACTGCTACGCAGCGCACCGCGAGTTGTTAAGGCCTACGAACGACAAATCGCGTCTAATGATGTACCTAAAATCTCTGCCAAGCTCACTGCGACAAAGTATTCTCAAAATCTCTTTGCCTTGTTTGCCTACGATGCGTTTGTCGGGGACTCAGAATGAGTTACTCACTCGAAGGGACCTCGCTCTTGAGGGGGGAGTAGTGTGATGACCTGACCAAACATGGACTGAAACACACAGTTGTTTTTTTAGTTTTGCTCATAGACTGAATGCCTTGCTGAGTTTCCCACTTGCTACTAAGTTCTCTAAGTCTGTGTGTATGCACGCTTGCTGGACTGCATGTCT